TTCCTTCCTTTTCTCTTCTTCTCTCTCTTTCTATCCCTCCCTCCACCTCCCTCTTCTTTCCTCTCTCTCTCTCTCTCCCTCCTCCTTTCTCTCCTCCTCCCTCCTCTTTCAACAATGATAAAAATGAATCCCAGTTGGAATTGGTGCACTAAGGAAGCATACCAAAAATATGAAGACTTCTGTTTTCTCGACTTTCTGGAAAATCGAGTTTGTCTGAAATGCAAAAGAATTGTCTTGCCCATTCTCCGTTATTTACAGAATTCTTCACATTTTGGCAATGATCTCTTCTTTGTATTTTGAAGATTCTTCTGAGAGTTTTACTCAATCTTACACCTGTCGTAGAATGTCAGTTTCTCAGACTCTCCACATAATATTTTTGCACATTTTAGCTGTACATAAATTCGTTATCTATATACACAGGTACATTTTAATAAACATTTAATCTGCTCTACAAAAATCAGACATCATAAAATTTAGAAAAATGGTGCGGTGAATGTTATTAGCATTTCCAGTCAACTGCCTTTTGAAGATTTTGGTTGAAACTTTGTATCAGCTCGTAAAGCTAAAAGCAAACGGAATTAACAAGAAGAAGATGAAGAAGGAGAAGAAAAAGAAAAAAAGAAGAAGAAGAAGCTACATCAACAACAACAACAATAATAATAATAATAATTGTTATTAAAGACCACAAACAAAAAAAGTGCCTCCTTATTGATATGGCAGTGCAATGCATCTTTGAAGATATTCAAAAAGCTGTCGAAATACAAGGACCTAGAAATGAAAATCTCGAAAATGTGGCATATGGGAACATCAACAATCCCTGTTGTAGTTGGAGCCCTAGGACTGGTTGGAAAAGATTGCAGTAGACTAATTGAAGGGATTCCTGGAAGTCCATGCCTCAAGGAGATACAAAAAAATTGTTCTGACAAGTACAGCCCACACCTTTACGAAGGGCTTTATCTATGTAATTTAATTTTTTTTTTTTTTGTCAGTGGAAAGTGTCATGACGCCATTTCTAACCTTAGGTCCCTGGGCGGGACCCGGAAAGAAATGTGTAAACGCCAGAAATCAAAGAAAATAAAAATAATAATAATAATAACGTTATTCGGTAATGAAAGGTCAATAAATTGAAAAGGAAATTTCATTTAAATGAAGAAGTACAAACAAACCATAAAGCAGATATTGCAGCAATAAAGAACCTAAAAAAAGCAAATGCAGATGCAATGCACTAAATGCAGAAACGATGGGAAGATAAACCTCTTTATGGTCAGTACTTTGCCCTCTGCCCTTACCAAACAAGTTGATGTAGACAAACCCAGCACCCATGAGTGGTTACGTAGTTCAGGCTTAAAAGCTGAAACTAAAAGTTTTATTCTTGCTGCCAAGGACCAAGGCTTGCTAACTAGAAATTACCAAGCGACACATACAGAAGAATTGTGTTAGCCTAAAATGCAGATTCTTTGATAAATATCCAGAAACAATTGACCATCTTGTATCAAGTTGCACAGTGTTAGCACCAACTCAATATAAACCGCGGCATGATAGAGTGGGTCAATATCTGTCACTGGAAAATTTGCAACTTTTACGAGAAAGAATCTTCAAGAAATTGGTATGACCATCACCCAAACCCGGTTATAGAGATAGGACGTGTAATAATTTTATGGGACTTCACAATACACACAGACAGAACAATCGAACCTAATCGTACAGACATCGGGATCAAAGACTACAAAACCAGAATCCGCTTTCTTATTGACATGGCAGTCATTGTAGATTTTAATGTATCTTTAAAGATCTTTAAAAACTATCAAAATACAAGTATCTTCAAGTGGAAATCTCAAAAATGTGGCACATCAATAATTCCAGTTGTAGTTGGAGTCCTCGATTTGATTGGAAAAGGTTCCGATATACTCATTGAAGGGATTCCTGGCAGCCCATACCTTAAAGAAATATAAAAAAAAAGTACTAACAAGTACAGCTCACATATTACGAAGAGATTTATTTATGTAAAATGTGGGCAATCTTAGTTTAAATTTTTTTCCTTTTTGTTGTTTTGTTTACAAAAATAATCAGTAGAAAGATTTCATAAAGCCATATCTGATCTTAGGTCTCTGATTGGGACCCGGAAGGAAATGTGTATGCAACAAAAATAATAATAATAATAATAATAATAATAATAATAATAATAATAATAATAATAATACTGTGCCGTTACCAAACAAGCTAATGTAGATAAATCTTGTACCCATCTGCGGTTATGTAGTGCAGGGATAAAAGATGGCCAGGACCAATACTTGCTCACTAAAAATTACCAAGCGACACATACAGAAGAATTTTGTTAACCTAAAATGCAGATTCTGTGATAAATATCCAGAAACAATTGACCATCTTGAATCAGGGTGCACCGTGTTAGCACGAACTGAATATAAACCTCGGCATGATAGAGTCGGTCAATATCTGTCACTGGAAAATCTGCAACTTTTACTGGAAAAAAAAAACTGCAAGAAACTGGTATGAACATCACCCAAACCCGTTTACAGAGATAGGACGTGTAATAATTTTATGAGAAATTACAATATATTGTGACAGAAAAATCAAATCTAATCGTCCAGACATCGTGATTAGAAGACGCAAAGATAAAAAGTGTCTCCCTATTGATATGTCAGCAAAGATAAAAAGTGTCTCCTTATTGATATGTCAGCAAAAAAAAAGTGTCTCCCTATTGATATGTCAGCCAAGATAAAAGGTTTCTCCCTCTTGATATGTCAGCAACTATAAAAAGTGTCTCCTTATTGATATGTCAGCAAAGCTAAAAAGTTTCTCCCTATTGATATGTCAGCAAAGATAAAACGTGTCTCCTTATTGATATGTCAGCAAAGATAAAACGTGTCTATTGATATGTCAGTAAAGCTAAAATGTGTCTCCCTATTGATATGTCAGCAAAGATAAAACGTGTCTCCCTATTGATATGTCAGCAAAGATAAAACGTGTCTCCTTATTGATATGTCAGAAAAGATAAAAAGTGTCTCCCTATTGATGTCAGAAAAGATAAAACGTGTCTCGTTATTGATATGTCAGCAAAGATAAAAAGTGTCTCGTTATTGATATGTCAGCAAAAATAAAACGTGTCTCTTTATTGATATGTCAGCAAAGCTAAAAAGTTTCTCCCTACTGATATATCAACAAAGATAAAAAGTGTCTCCTTATTGATATGTCAGCAAAGATAAAACGTGTCTCTTTATTGATATGTCAGCAATGCTGAAAAGTGTATCCCTATTGATATGTCAGCAAAGATAAAACGTGTCTCCCTATTGATATGTCAGCAAAGATAAAAAGTGTCTCCTTATTGATATGTCAGCAAAGATAAAAAGTTTTCCTTATTGATATGTCAGCAAAGATAAAACGTGTCTCCCTATTGACATGTCAGCAAAGCTAAAAAGTGTCTCCTTATTGATATGTCAGCAAAGATTAAAAGTGTCTTCTTATTTATATGCCTGCCTCTGCAAACCGCAATATATTTTTGAAGTTCTTCAATAAACAAAATACAAGTGCCATTGAAATCTAAATCTCCAAAATGTGGTTCATGAGAACATCAGTAATTCCAGCTATCGTTGGAGCCCTCGGATTGATTCCAATAGACCCACTGAAGGGATTCCTGGTAGCCCATGACTTAAAGAAAATACAAGAGAAGAAATACAAACACTTGTTATTACAAGTGCAGCCCACATCTTACGAAGGGCTTTATCTATGTAAAATATGTGTGATTTTTTTTTTTACAAAACTGCTCAGTGGAAAATGTCATGATGCCATTTCTAACCTTAGGTCTCTTGTCAACACCCGGAATGAAATGAGTATACACCAGAAATCAAAGGAAATAAAATAACAACAACAACAACAATAATAATAATAATAATAATAATAATAATAATAATAATAATAATGATAAAACAATCAAAGCTAACAGCCCAGACATTGTTATTAGAGACCACAAATAAAAAAAGTGCCTTCTTACTGATATGGCAGTCCCTGAAGGCTGCAATGTATCTTTGAAGTTATTCAAAATGCTGTCAAAATACAAGGGCATTGAAATCGAAATCTCAAGAAGAAGAAGAAGAAGAAGAAGAAGAAGAGCAGCTGTCATGATGCCATTTCTGACATTAGATCCGGACAGAAAAGAGTATACACCAAAAATCAAAGGAAATAATAATAATAATAATAATAATAATGATAATAATTCCACCAATCAAGAAAATACTTAAACAGAAACTGCAATTAAAAGTACAGAGATCAAGACGATATGAAAAGCATTTTAATTTCTATCGATAAATGTCGAGTGGTGCTTTAATATTTCTTTGTCTTTTAAAAGTTTTCTTAATTTCCTCAACAGTCGATTCCTTATTGTTTGGGGACGGACTTCGTAAACGTTGGATGAATATTGCTAGACGTTCTATTTCTGTAAACATCTTAAGTTCAATTTGATCAAATGTTGAAAAGCGTTTTTGAGATTAGGATATTTTTTCTGTGCAAGTTTTGATATACAACGCAGATAATGTCACATACTTTAGAAAAAAGTCAATACTTTAAGCTAAACAAACAAATTAACAAAAATTAAAAGATAAAAATATAAAGTCAAGAAATAAACAAAGTAAATAATAAAAAACTAAGAAATTATGAAGACACGCATAAAGGCAAGTACAGTGTAACCCGGATATAAGAGACTCGGATATAAGAGAAACCCGGATATAAGAGAGATTTTCTCTGGGCCCAAATTAGAGCCTGTGTTAATGTATATAAAATAGACCAAACCCGGATATAAGAGAAACCCGGATATAAGAGAATTCTTCTCCGGTCCCGACAACTCTCTTATATCCGGGTTACACTGTATATTAATCAACGAGAAATGAATAAACAGAAAATAACTTATGCATTCAATAATAAAGAACGATTTAAAAGTTAATAAAAACACAACACAATAACTGCAAATAAGAACATTCTTATATATTCTATAGACATAGATACCAACAGACTGAGGTAGATAGATAGGAAGAAAGAAGTAGAAACAGAGAGAGATAAATAGATAGATAGATATGAACAGACTGAGATAGATAGATAGATAGATAGATAGATAGATAGAGGGATAGATAGGAACAGACTGAAATAGATACATATGAATAGACTGAGGTAGATAGATAGAAATGAACAGAGATAGATAGATAGATAGATAGATAGATAGATATGAACAGACTGAGATAGATAGATAGATAGATAGATAGATAGATAGATAGATAGATAGATAGATATGAACAGACTAAGATAGATAGATAGATAGGAACAGACTGAAATAGATAGATCGATAGATAGGAACAGACTGAGATAGATAGATAGATAGATAGATAGATAGATAGATAGATAGATAGATATGAACAAACTGAGATAGATAGATAGATGTGAACAGACAGACAGATAGATAGATAGATAGATAGATAGATAGATAGATAGATAGATATGAACACACTGAGATAGATAGATAGATATATGAATAGACTGAAATAGATAGATACATAGATAGATAAATAGATAGATAGATAGATAGATATGAACAGACTGTGATAGATACATATGAATAGACTGAGATAAATAGATATGAACAGAGTCAGATAGATAGATAGATAGATAGATAGATATGAATAGGCTGAGAGAGATATTTCTATTCAATTATGTCTCTAGAATAATATAACCGCCATCGTTTACCCAATAATTGATTCGATGATGTATTAAACCGGAAATACGTGTCCTTACTACCCATAACGCACCACTAACGTGTATATATATATAAATAGTCAAACCCCCGTAGAACTGAAGATTGCGTTCAAGCATGAAACAAACTATCGCTTTTGACCTCAGTGTCCATACGCTCTGATATTGAGCACCTTTAACCATAAATATCGCATAAATTAAAACCATATTTTCGTAATATATATATATATATATATATATATATATGAAAAAAATAGTTTTAAGGTGTGCTAAATTTATTTACCTTATATATATATATATATATATATATATATAAAGTAAAGACTAAATTTATTCAATAAAATCGGCATTGGCTTCAACCACGGCCTCCTGACAATTTTGGAATCTCCTGCAACTCCTCTTGACGGTCTACTTGTTTAAGCTGGTCAATACTTCCATAATCTTAGCCTTCTGTTCATCTTTCGTGTTACACGGAGTTTTGTTTGTCTCTCGCTCAACTGCGCCCTACGCATAATAATCAAGTGGGGTGCAGTCTGTGGAGTTAGATGTCAAGATATAAGGGGTGATGTGGTCGCAGAAATTGTCTGACAGCCATGACTGGTTTCTCCTGCTAGTGTGACATGGTGCAGAATCCTATTGCCAGACATAGTTTCTTCCAGCAGCCACCGTATTGACTCAGGGCAACACTACCACCTCAAGACACGAGGGAACATGAATGGAGGCATAATGTCGCCATCACTAGTAATCACTTCAAACAACTTCGTAATCACCATTAGATTCATTCAACTCTTTCCGAATCCTTCGCGCTGTCCTCAGATTTATAACCAATCACACTGAAATGTTTTCTATTAGAGCTTCCGGTGCGAATACCAGGCAATACAGCTGTTTCTAGCATATGTGCTGATTCGTTCAGTTTACGAATTTTCCAATGATGTTCTTTGTCTATGATCTCAACCTGAACCTACAGAGGGCGTTGATCTTTTCTCTCCATATGTGGTCAGTCACACCTGATTTTTAGAGAGATAGTGTATCTATTGATATAGCCATCATTATTTACTTTTTTTCGGCATTTATTTCCATTTATAAGAATTTGCCGTTGATACTTGAATGGTTGAAAAGTTATTGTCTGCAAACTGGATTGAGAAAAGAAAGTCCATGAAATAAAATGTCTTTCTCGATCGTTTGTGTCTCAATTCTACGCTCTGTCCCAAAAGCAATCATAACGGGCTTCTTTTTATTTGTTTCGCTGTTTTCTATCTAGACTCTTGCATTTGGTATTTCCATCAAAGCAACAAGCTTCCACTCTGACCCGCCCAGCGTCTATCCTGTCTTTTCTTCTTACTTCTCGGCCTCCTTTCTATTAATCTATGTGTAACATTTCCACAGATGGTAAATGTCTGGATTGGAAAGCGGCATTGGCTTCTTTCCAGTTGGCCAATTTCAAAGTCAATCACTTTACTAAGGCAGGGTTTTATCACTTGGTAGAGAAATAACAATGTGTTTCTACTCGCAAAGGTCCTGCTGCAAATGCAAGCAAACGGATTGGGAAAAGTCACCTGTATTCTTTGTTGTGGGGAAAAGTAGCTGCGTTTTGTTTTTCGACTTTTTATTCTGGGACGTAAAATGGCGAAGTCTGTAGCAGGTGCGCTTCACCAAGTTATAATTAACCTCACAACAATTCATTTTCTATTTTGCAACATCTCCTTAGGAAATACTCCAAAGTCTAAACATTCATGGATTCCTGCTTTGCTTTAAGAATTTAGGAGAGTGCTACACTTCCTGGCAATTTTTTTCTCAACACTCGATAATGAATACATAGAAGAAAACTGTTTTATTTTTAAACTGAATAGTTAAAGAAGCTGCATATATCATAGACATAACTTTTTAGACTAAAATTTTCCTAGCACAAGAGCCACTCATGGTAGAGGATTACTCTTACAATAGGGCAGGTCGATTTTGGAACCGTGCCATCATTTCAGAAATTGACGGTTAACATAAATAGCAACACGAAATATTTTTTTTCCAAATCCTTACTGCTTTGTTGAGGAGATGAGTTTAATTTTTCAGTTCAGGTTCAAAATTGAAGTCTTGGAATTTAATTCAGGTGATCAGTGAAATCCACATAACACAGCCTTATAAAGTTTATAATTGAAATATATGCAGTTAGTTGGTTTGAAAGTAAAATGGATAATAAATTCCTAACCATCAACGGTATTATCTTCAACATGAGAATAAATCAAGTCACCAGAAATGTAGAATGTACCATTAAAAATTTACAGCGCAAAAATATATGCTTTGCTTCAGAAGTAGCGAGCTACCAAAGAAAAAATTAAAAACTCTGAAGCGACACACACTGGTCAAATTTGATTAACTTCTCAAAGAATGGAGTTTGTGAACCTATGCTTGCAGAAGGTTTTTCACATAATGACCTGCAAAAGGTTCTAGTGTAGTAGGTACCGCCACTAATTTTCGATACCTTGATTTAAAATTAAATTTTATAAATGAAAAAGCTTCCTTGAAGCTTTCATTTTAGCTTTAATTGAAAGCTAAAGGATTAAATTTACTATTTCAAGCAAGCAAAATACTCTGATATATTTCAAACATAAATTATATTGATTAGAATTGATTTGGGGGGTGGTTTCTAAAATAGCTGATTAGCACCCTTTTCATTACAATGTAATTCTCTGTATTAAAAAAATAATCTTCCAAAAATAAAATATAGTTTTCTGAAACTTTATTTGAGAAATATTAGCCAATTTAAAGCCTAATTAATCTGATTTGAAACACATATTATTTACTTAAGTTAAAATAACAGATTTGGATTTTTAAAACAAACAGTAGCAGTTGTCATCGCCTGTCAATCATATAACAAGTACTGACAAAGGTGTTGACAGTTTTATTGTTGTTCTACGGAGATTTATCTGTTAAATCATTTAAGGAAATGACAAATGAGCCCCTTGTTATATAATTTTTTAACTACTCAGTAATCTTAAAAATATTAGAAAATATTCTCCATAATCTAATTTTAGGAATGTCGATTTTAAATTTACTATAGTCATCACTCTTATTTTCTGATAATGTCATGTATGGTCGACCATACTTTCATAAATAGGCAAATTACATAATATTTTATATATATAAAAAATTGTTTCGAACATCTTGGTGAAAATGATTTGTATTAAGCTTTTCAATTTTTGAAATTTTAAAATAAGTTTAAAACAAAAGAGAAAAGGATTTTGAAAACAAATAGTAGCAGTTGTCATCACTTGTCAATCACATAACAAGTACTGATAAATTGCACAGCCTTATAAAGTTTATAATTGAAATATATGCAGTTAGTTGGTTTGAAATTAAAATGGATAATAAATTCCATAAGCATCAACGGTATTATCTTCAACATGAGAATAAATCAAGTCACCAGAAATATAAAATGTTCCATTAAACATTTTTACAGCAGAATTCTTTCATCTTCCATCCAATAATATTCTTTTCTCAATGTTGAAATCAGATGAATTGGAGATGAAGGAAGAGGCTATAAAAATTGTTCATTATATAAGTAAATATTTATTTATATTGAATTAGTTATGTCAATTTACAAGACTGATTTTAAAATTTCATTCAAATTACATGGCAAAAATATAACGAAGTATGGGTAAATTTTCCAATAATAAATGTTTTTGTTTCAGAAAGAGCGAGCCAAGAAAGAAGTGATTTCAAAATACATTTATCAATTCTGAAGCGATTCACTGATTAAATTTGATTAACCTTTCATAAAATGGAATTTGTGAACCTGCGCTTGCAGAAGGGTTTTTAAAATAATGAACTGCGAGAGGTTTTAATGATTGAAACAACTTTGAAGTTGTCAAATTGACTTGCACAAATTTATACAAAGGGAAGTTAAATTACTGAAGCTTCAAAAATTATATATGGCATTGATTAGCATTTTTTGTAATCTTTTACAATTTGTACAGTTTTTACTTATCGAATACAGTAAAAAGAATTGCATATTTTGTTTGTGGTGATTCATAATTAGAATTCTGGTTTAAATATATTTTCCATTCCATGTATATAAACAAGATGCATAGCACAAGCACATTATTACGAAATCATTCATTTACTTCAAAGGGAAATTATTCTAAACAATTTAGTGATATTATAGTGTAATATGTCATACAGTGCAGTGGTTTTAGTGCAATTTTCAATAAACAATGCAACATTTTGTCTAATAATTTGTGGCCAGCAGTTTCATGGTATTATATACACTTTTATCTATTTTTTGTTTTTATTAATTATGACCTAACAAAAGATCTAATAAATTTTATTCCCTGATTAGCCTTTTTTGTAATCTTCGACAATTTTTATTACGCAGTTTCTAACTATCAAATACAGTAAAAAAAAAAACAAACCAAAAACTGCATTGTGGTGTTACATAATTAAAATTCTGGTTTGAATCTATTTTCCATTCAATTAATTTGATAAAAACATATCAACTTTATTTGGATTTATTCTTGAGAAATTTTAAAGTTAGTTTTTAAGCAAAACCCTGCGGAAATTAGCTATTACTATACATTTTTTCAGACTTTATTTAAAAGTAAGAAAAAACCTAAGAGATAGAAAAGATAGATAGATAGATAGATAGATAGAGAGAGAGAGAGAGAGAGAAAGAGAGAGAAAGCCTTAGATAGATAGATGAACAGGATGTGATAGAGAGAGAGAGAGAGAGAAAGTGAGAGAGAGAAAGCCTGATAGATAGATAGATAGATAGATAAAAAGAAAAAGCCTAGATAGATAGTTAGATAGATAGAAAGAAAAAGCATAGATAGATCGATAGATAGATAGACAGATAGATAGAAAAAAAATCCTAAGAGATAGATAGATAGATAGATAGATAGAAAGAAAAATCCTAATAGATAGATAGATAGATTGATAGATAGATAGATAGAAAGAAAAATCCTAATAGATAGATAGATAGATAGATTGATAGATAGAAAGAAAAATCCTAATAGATAGATAGATAGATAGATAGATAGAAAGAAAAATCCTAATAGATAGATAGATAGATAGATAGAAAGAAAAATGCTAATAGATAGATAGATAGATAGATAGATAGATAGATAGATAGAAAAATCCTAATAGATAGATAGATAGATAGATAGATAGATAGATAGAAAAGCCTAAGAGATAGACAGATGAACAGGATGAGATAGATACAGGGAAAACAAAAACAGAACAAGAAAAATGGAGAACGAATCAAAAGAGGAATAGTCAGAGCAACAGGAGCAGCAGCAGAAGAAGAAGAAGAAGAAGAAGAGTGAAATGAGAAGATGATGAAGCAAAGAACTTGGTAGAGGATAACGAAGAAGAAGAAGAAGAAGAGGAGGAGGAAGAAGAGAGAGAGATTGAGAGAGAGAGAAAATTTAAAAGAGAAATTGACAAAGGGGAAAAGGATTAAGTACATGTAGATGAATAAAATCAATAGCCGAAGAAAAAAGAGAAGAAAAGGGGGAAGAAGAAGGAGAAGAGGAGGAAGAAGATGGTGAAAACGAGGAAGATGAAGAAAAAGAAGCGGAAGGAGAAAAAGTAGAGGGAGAAGAAGAGAAAGAAGGGGAAGAAGAAGAAGAAAAAGAAAAGGTTGAAGAAGAAAAAGAGGAAGAAGAAGAAAAATTAGAAGGGTGAAGAAGAAAAAGAAGAAACGAAGAAGAAAAAGAGGAAGAAGAAGAAAAATTAGAAGGGTGAAGAAAAAAAAGAAGAGGTTGAAGAAGAAAAAGAGGAAGAAGAAGAAAAATTAGAAGGGTGAAGAAAAAAAAGAAGAGGTTGAAGAAGAAAAAGAGGAAGAAGAAGAAAAATTAGAAGGGTGAAGAAAAAAAAGAAGAGGTTGAAGAAGAAAAAGAGGAAGAAGAAGAAAATAGAAGGGTGAAGGAAAAAAAAGATGAAAAAGAAGAAAATGGATGAAGAAAAGAAGAAAAAAAAGGAAAAACGAAAAGAAAAAAAAAAGAGGTTGAAGAAGAAAAAAGAAGAAGAAGAAAAAAATTAGAAGAAAAGAAAGAAAAAGAAGAGGTTGAAGAAGAAAAAAAGAAGAGAAGAAGAAGAAAAAAAGAAGGGCGAAGAAAAAAAAAAGGGAAAAGAAGAAAAAAGAAAAGAAGAAAAAAAAATTAGAAGGGCGAAGAAGAAAAAGAAGAAGTTGAAGAAAAAAAAAGAAGAAGAAGAAGAAAAAAGAAGGGTGAAGAAAAAATTCAAAGAGATGAAGAAGAAAAAGAGGAAGAAGAAGAAAAATTAGAAAGAAAGCGAAAAAAAAAAAAAAAGTTGAAAAAGAAAAAGAAAAAAAAGAAGAAGAATTAAAATTAGAAGAAAAAGAAAAGAAAAAAGAAGAAAAAAAAAGAAGAAAAAAAGAAGAAGAAAAGAAAAAAAAATAGAAGGTGAAGAAAAAAAATTGTTGGTTGAAGAAGAAAAAGAATTTTTCATTTTTTAAAATTAGAAGGGTGAAGAAAAAAAAAAAGAGGAAAAAGAAGAAAAAAAGGAAGAAGAAATTTAATTAAGAAAATAAATAAGAAAAACTAAGATTTGAAGAAAAAAATGATTAAGAAGAAAAAATTAGAAGGGTGAAAAAAAAAAAAAGATGTTGAAGAAGAAAAAAGAAAGAGAAAAAAAAATTAAAAAGGGATTAAATTATGTGGCTAAGAATAAAAAATATAGAAGAAAAAGTAGGAAGAATAAAAAAGAAAAAAAAGAAGAAAAAAAAGAAGAGTTGAAAAGAAGAAAAGAAGAAGAAAAAAAAATTAAATGATATTGAAGAAAAAAAAAAAAAAAAGAAAAAAAGAAAGAAGAAATTTTTTTTTTAGAATTTGCTTCTGAAAAAAAAAAAAGGTTGAAGAAAAAAAAGGAAGAAGAAAAAAATTAAAAGGGCGAAAAAAAAAAAAAGAGGTTGAAGAAGAAAAAAAAAAAGAAAAAAAAATTAGAGAAAAAAAAAAAAAAAAAAAGATAAATTGAAGAAAAAAAATAAAAAGAAAATTAAAAGGGTAAGAAAAAAAAAAAAAGAAGAAGAAAAAAGGAAGAAGAAAAATTTAAAAGAAGTTGAAGAAGAAAAAAGAGGTTGAAGAAGAAAAGATGGAAAAAAAAAATTTTTAGAAGGGCGAAAAGAAAATAAAAAAAAGAAGAAAAAAAAATAAAAGAAGAAAAAAAATAAAGGGCGAAGAAAAAAAAGAAGAGGTTGAAGAAGAAAAAGAGGAAGAAGAAGAAAAATTAGAAGGGTGAAGAAAAAAAAGAAGTGGTTGAAGAAGAAAAAAAAAAGAAAGAAAAAATTAGAGGGATATGAAGAAGAAAAAGAAGAATATGAAGAAGAAAAAAAAAGAAGAAGAAAAAAAAATTTAAGGTATTTTAAAAAAAAAATTTATTTGAAGAAGAAAAAATTTAAAGAAAAAAAAAAATTTTAAAAAAAGAAAAAAAAAAAAGAAAAAAAAGAAAAAAATAAAAAGAAAAATTAGAATTAAAAAAAAAAAAAAAAGATGAATTTGAAGAAAAAAAGAGGAAGAAGAAAAAAAATTAGAAGGGCGAAAAAAAAAAAAAAAAAAAATGAAAAAAAAAAAGGGAAGAAATTTTCAATTAAAGGGCGAATTAATGAAAAAAAAAAAAGAGGTTGAAGAAGAAAAAAAGGAAGAAGAAGAAAAAATTAGAGAGGATTGCAAAAAAGAAGATATTGAAGAAATTTCAAAGAGGAAGAAATAATTTTACAAAATTAAAGGAATTTTAAGAAAAAAGAAGAGGTTGAATCAAATTTTTTATTTTAGAATTGAAGAAAAGAAAAAAAAGAAGGGTGAAGAAAAAAAAATGAATGAAAAAAAAAAAATCAGGATTGAAAATTGAAATTTTGAAATCAGAAATTTCAAAATTAGAAGGCGAAAAAAAAAAAAAGAATATTTATTTGAAAAAAAAAGAAATAAAAAATTTAAAAATTAAGATGAAAAAGAATCTTTTGAATCTAAAAAGAAGAAAAAGAAAATTTTTTTTTTTTAAAAAAAAAAATGAAGAGGTTGAAAAAAAAAAAATTGTGAAGAAAAAAAATTAGAAGGGTGAAGAAAAAAAGAAGAAAGAGTAAAAGCGTCTGAAAAACAATAAAAGCTGAAAGGCTAACATGTGAAATGTTTTATTTCGGTAATCTTTAAATCTTTTTCTCCATTTGTTTAAATGTACCTGTGGCAGATTTTCCAAAACTCGAATCCATTTGAAAATCTACCTGGAACCCTTTCTTATGGCCTTCCAGAATACCAAAAATTTCTTGAAAAAAATTAAAAAAAATTTTGTTATTGTTTCGACCCTTAAAAAAAAATCCTCAATAACGCCATTAATGTCGATGCCTTCAAATTTCTTAGAATAAAAGCGAATTCCAAACAGTGTGTGTGTGTGCGTGTGTGTGCGTGTTGTATTGTAATGTGTGAAATGATAATTTTTTTCCAAATTTGTTTCTTATCTCGACCAATTTCTGTCACATTAATTCCAGCAAGATCGTGTGACCAACTAACTGAAAAAAAATTTGAGAATTTCTTCTTCGTATGAAGCTATTTCTAAAAAAAAGAAAAAAAATACATAAATAAAAATTTACATATTTATTTTTCTACTATTACAGAACAAAAAATAGATAATTAATCTGTTAATTGGGTTCTCAGGGATTTTTTTGATTAATAATCACCAAAAATACGGATTACCATATGAACCTTTTAGATACTATTTATATTAAGTCTAAGCAGCCTTTCTTCTGCAGACACACTGATTAAGACGGAAATATAAAATTTATTTTTTAAAATTTTTTTTTTTATATAATGTCAAATTTTATTGATACAATTTCTGAAGAGAGAAGAGGATTCATACTTTTATCAAGAGTATTTGCGTATAAATAAATATAACGACCCCGACCGGAATTCAAACTCTCCGATTTCTCATTCCGAGCCTTAAAATTAATTTTCTAGTAACAGACAACGAACAATATGACATTAAAACCTGAAGGGGTTTCGGAATTAATTGATTGGCTTTTTTTTACGGCTTTTGCAGGTTATTTAAAGCCAGAAAATACTTTGAGATAAAAATGATTTACCAATACAAATCCTACTTATAAACCCATAGCTGGAGGAAGAAGAGGCGCATTTATACCTTTCCCAAAGATATTTGCGAGCATCTGAATGTAACGAACGTGACGGGAATTCGAACTGGCTTCTCTGATTTCTAATTCTGTGCCATTATCCATTACGCCACATGCATATCCAAGCTTATAACACCTGACATTCCAAAGTGGTCAAATATCTAAAACTGACCAGTTAAATGCATGCAAAAAAAAATTCGCCGGGTTATTTGAAATTTTTCTTTAATTAATACGTTTACGTTGTTTTTTTTAAGTTGTGTGCACATATTTTTTTAATCCTCATTTGAAACTGAAAAGAAGACTGGCAACTGGTTGACCCTTTTTTATTTTTTATTTTTTTTGCTATTTCGTTTTTGTTACAATTTTCGCATATATTACTAAATGTTCGTTTTTAAAACTTTAATATCTAGGGCGCGGCAAAAATACCTCCCATATATACATCCCAGAAATTCTTCACACGTAATGGTAAAACAATAGTGACAATAGTATTATAAAAATAAAATTTCTGGGATATAAATAGATGTAGTACATATTTCTATTTATTTTATATTATTTTATTTGACATATTTTTAATATTTGTTCATATATATATTTATTGTTATTTTTATTATTTATTTTTAATGTATTACACACACACATATATATATATATATATATATAATTTGTATGTTAAAAATGAAAATATAAAATAAATGAATATATATAAAGATGCACATCATTTGCATATAATATATATATTTAAAATTTTCCTCTGAAATAATTTTATTTTTATATTAAAAATATAATATATTTTCATTCATTGAATTAAATTTTACAAAATATTGTTTTTCACAATACAATTCAAAATATATATATATATATATATATATATATATATATATAAATATAATAAATGTATATATTTATGGGATGAATTGATAAATAATATTTTCCAATGATGGCTTTAAAAAATAACAGTGAAAATAGATTTTCTTATTTGTTGACTTCAATGTTCAATTA